CAGTTTCAAATGCAGTCTTTCTGTACTCCTTTCCACCCGGGTTCGTCTGCGCTCGGGCTACTGGAGAGACAATGACTCCGGGCCGAACTCAGTATATATTGAGGTTGAGGTGGGGAAGTGCCGTGGACAGGGCGCCTCGGTGAGGGGTAGTCGCGAAACAATCATGTCCCGTGCTCGGCGATACCCCTTCACCGGGAGAGTCACTGAGGCGGCGGAGTAGCGCAGCGCACGAGTGGTGACAGCGTGCAGCATCAGCTGTTCCGCCCCCCGCCCACATCTGTCGCGTGTGCTGCACTAACAAGAATGGTAGTAGTGCGCACTGATCAGTGATCATACGTAATGATTGTCAACATGTAGTAGGTATCACTTTCTGAATTTTACAGCTCTGTAATTGTTATTTGAAAAAATTGTGATTCCCCTCTAATGTCTATTCGTATCCCCTATAAAATGACAGTGATGACAGTGATGACACCACTGTCACAAACTGTCACAAAAGTGATGACAGTGATGACACCACTGTCACAAACTGTCACAAACGTTCCGCTGGCTTACTGTAGTGTGCGGCGTGTGGCATCACAATAATTCACTTGCACGGACTAACGTGACGCAACCCGTCCGGCAGAGGCGCTGCTGTACGAGATGCTGCCGCGGTGCGTGGCGGACCAGCTCAAGCGCGGCCTCAAGGTGCAGGCCGAGAGCTTCGACTCGGTCACCATCTACTTCAGCGACATCGTCGGCTTCACGGCCATGTCGGCGCAGAGCACCCCGCTGCAGGTCGTCGACTTCCTCAACGACCTGTACACGTGCTTCGACTCCACCATCGGCCACTTCGACGTGTACAAGGTGGAGACCATCGGGGACGCGTACATGGTGGCAAGTACACAACAACACCCTTTAGAACATTTTAAAAGTGAAAAATATTGTATTTGTCTGGAATTATACAATAAATGCGAGAGCGGGAATGTCCTAACCGCGCGCTGGACAGGTGTCTGGGCTGCCCGTGCGCAACGGCGACTCTCACGCGGCCGAGGTGGCCTCCATGTCGCTGCAGCTGCTCGAGGCGGTCAAGACCTTCCGCATCCGGCACCGGCCGGGCGACGCGCTGCAGCTGCGGATCGGCATTCACTCGGGTGAGCAGCACAGGCATGGGCTGGGCGGGGCGGCGCAGCTGGAGCGCAGCTGCTGGACGCGTGCCCCAGTACTAATCGTGTGAACGAACGCACCTGCCGTAGGCCCGGTGTGCGCCGGCGTGGTCGGGCTCAAGATGCCGCGCTACTGCCTGTTCGGGGACACGGTCAACACGGCGTCGCGCATGGAGTCCAACGGCATGCGTGAGTCTCAGTACCCTCTGCCGGGGCGGGCGGGGAGCGCCCGGCGGGTAGGCCGCTCTGCAGCGGTCGCGCACGGCTGTCGGGCGGGCGGCCTATCCCGAGCCCCGTCCTAAGCCTCACGTTCTGCTCCGCCTCCCCGCAGCGCTCCGCATCCACTGCTCCCCCGAGTGCGCGGCGCTGCTGCAGCGCATCGGCGGCTACGAGCTGGCGGACCGGGGGCTGGTGCGCATCAAGGGCAAGGGGGACGTGCGCACGTACTGGCTGCTGGGCGAGTCCGGGGAGCGGCGCGCCGGGCGGCAGGGCGGCGCCCGCGCCAACCCCGGCCACGGCCCCGGCCCTCGGCCAGCCTCCAGCCCGTGCGCCGTGCACGCCCCGGGCCCCGGGCCGCGCAGCTCGCTCAAGAAGGTGTGCCCGGCGTGCCCGCTGCCGCTGACCGTGCCGCTGCCCCTGGCCCTGGGCGGCCACCTGCCCATGCACCTGCCCATGGGTGGGCTGACGCGCTGCTCCAGCCTCGAGTCGCCCAAGAGGCTGCGCTTCGCGTCCTCCGGCACGCTGCACCAGTTCCACCAGCTGGACGCCATCGCCGACCATTCGGTTTGTTCGGATGTTGGGCTGAATACTTTATTTCAGAGCTGAACGCGAAGAAGTAAAGTGGAAGAACAAAAGGCGCAATGCTCATGCGCAGATGCAGAGTTGGAGAAGCAGGGGGTGGAGTTGGGGGGCGTCTAGCGTGCGCAGTGTCCGTTTTGTTCTTCTATTTTACTTCTTCACGTCCAGTTCTGAAATAGCCTATTCCAGGCAATAAATAACACGACTCGACGGCCGTCTCGCAATTTGCTAACCTTACTCGCGCTGGGCCCGCAGGGTTCCCCCGGCCGGGTGTTCGTGGGCTCCGGGTCGCCGGGTTGTCCCGGAGGTGACGGCGGCGACCCCTCGTCGCTCAGCATCATCGTGGACCCCTCTCACCTCAGCGCCTCGTGCCCCGCCATCGACCACCTACAGCTGCCGGCCACTGTCCCCTCCGCGCCCCCGCTCGCGGACCACCACGTGGTCGTCGATCTATTCCAGGTGCGTGCTGATCGACTTGGGGCTTGATCCCGTCGTGAGGGTTCTAACCACTGACCTGTTCCCAGACACGGGCGCGAGTCCCCGCGCTGCTCTCCGCGGCCGTGGTGGCGTCGCGCTCCGTGCCGTCCCTGTTCCCGCCCCCCGGCCTGCCCTGCGGCGGGCGCGGGGCCATCGCCGCCTCCAGGGGCGGTTTCTTCTCGGCGCTGTCCCCTGGGTCTCTCCTGGGCACGGCCAGCTCCGCGCCGACGTCGCCGGGCACCTCGCCGGGGGCGTCGCCGGGAACGTCCCCGGGGGCGGAGCACCGCGGCTGCCACCACCGCACCGCCGCGCTGGACCCGGCGCGGCAGCCGCTCCTGGGGCAGCACCTTGCCGCCTGGAGGCTGGCCGAGGAGCCCGAGACGGCGGTGTAACGAGCAGACACCTGTCATGACCTCCCCCCCCCCCCCGCTACTACTACAATACTGTATCATCTACATGACCGCCTGATGATGTTCAAACATAGTATGTATCCTGTTTATTTATTATCGTAATTAATCAACAGCCGAGTCTAGGTAGTAACAGCGGGCGTGGTACTGTGCGAAGTCTTTTCGCCTCAAACAATCTTTTTCACAAAATCATTTCCATACGACGTTGATATTTTGGATGACAATCTACTCAGCAATTCCATATTAGCTTATAGCATGTAGCACTGCCATCTACCAATGATATGATCGTGTTTACTCTGACAATATGGTAGTACTTGAAAACACACAGAATATTTTTATATTTTATAAAACAATATGATCTCTATGCTTCATAGCAATGTTACCTTACTTTATGTATGTATTTTCCTAGTCATGAATAGATGTGTATAGTGAGTCAATTTCTATTGATTGGATGCATTCCGTGAATAAAAACTCGTCTGCCGAGAAAATAAAAACGTCGGCTGTTGGCCATTTTACCTTACACACGGGCATGCCGTCTGCAGGCCCTCGGCGGGCCCCTCGCGGTCCATATTAAGCACTGCGCTGTGAGATAAGATACAGCGGGGTGTGCACTGCACCTGGGCCCGAGCCCGAGCCTGGGCCGTTGGGACGTGCGTCCTCGTCGCACCCACAGCGTCCACGGCGCGAGGAGAGAGAGGGAGAGAGAGAGAGGAGCGACGACGCGGAGGATCAGCAGTTTGCCGCGTTTACGATGCAGCGGTGCGAGCAAAGCGGTACGGGCGGGCAAACAAGAAGGCGTGCAAGACCAGGTCGAGTCGGGGAAGAGAAGCAAGTGTGGCGACCAAAAGCGAGTAAAGCGAACCAGGCTGAGAGCAACAGGCCGGTACTTTACTGGGCGCGACCCGCGACCAGCCAGGCCGCCTGTGATCCTGAAGGCTCGTCCAAGCTGAAGGTAAAAGTTGGCGGTCGGTGTTATGACCTTGCATCAAGATTTGTTTTCATATCGTATTTTTAACCTTTTACAGTACCGGCGCGACACTTGACGTGTGTGTGTGTGCCCCCCGTGACAAACAGTGGCGTTATCAAGTGACGCGACAACATTTTGCCTCCCGAGGCCTTAGTGGCCGCTATAAATCAATCTGCTGATGTGAAGGCAAACTCGGGACTCCCTCCCTCGCGGTGGGCGCTCCTCAGTCCTGGGGCTCTCCTCGAGTCCTGAGCCTGAGCAGGGCGCCCTCCAGCCGACGATCTTTCGGCTTCTAGCTCTCTTTCCTCTTCGCCCCGCGCTCATCGTAGGCGCTGCCTTTCTAGGTATTCTAAAGATTTCGAGCGCATATTCCTCAGGGACCTACCAGTTCGGGGGGCCTTCCGTCCTTGGCAAAGGCCGCCCGAAGGGCGCGTGGAGCTCGGCGAAGCGAAAGCGTTATTTCAGCGCTCAGATTGGCCGCTCCGCCCCCAAGGCCGCAGCAGGCGCGGCGCGCCCGCCAGGGGTCATGCATACACGCTGCCGATAGGGTATCGCTCTGCGCGCTCTGCGGCCCGAGGCTTCAGCCGCACGGCCCCGCAGCCGCCCCGCTCCACCGCGGCCCGAGTGACCAGATCACTCCGCCGCCGCCCCGGCCGGGGCCGAGTGTCCAAGCCCATAGGCTGGACGCTGCCGCCTCTATTTTCGGCCGCACATTAAACTGAGTGTCCCCTTCGGTCCCTCTCGTGTGATGCGGGCCGCGCCGGCCCGCTGTGCGCGGCGGCGGGGCGGAGCGGGGCCGCGCCGAGGCGATACCGGAGGCTGATATCGTGGTGAAAGTGGGTTGATATCGCGCCGAGGCATCGGGAGGTTAATACCCATCGCGATTACCTATGGCGATATTGGGGCGATGCCGCGGACGATGCTCGAGCAATTCGGTGCCGTGCCGATGTGCCGGCTGTCACGGTACTGTAGTGGCCGTTGGTCGTTTCCCGCACCGCCCCAAGCATGCACCGTCGGCGCCGGCCTTACTGGTGGTGCCAGTGCCAATCATAGAGACGTTGGCATTATTATGTCTATGGTGACAACCAGCTGAGCGGGCCGGCGCCGCAGTTTTTCCACAGAAAAACAACATAATTTCGTTGGTGACGCGGCGCCTTGGGTCGTCCTCACCGCTCCACGCCCACCCCGTTTAGGAGGGGGGCCCGCGGGCCCATACCACTATTTGTTTTCCGAACGCAAGGTAAGACCAGACCAGGATGACGACGGTTTACGCCGCGAGCCCGCGAGCTCAATATGGACACGCTCGGCCCCCCTCCCACTCGCGTGTGACGTAACGCCCCGGCGTGCCGACGGCCCGTCCATGGAGGAAGGTGGTCCTGGTCCATCCCCGCGCTGCATCGAGGCGCCAGGGGGCGCCCCACCCCGCGACGACGCCCCACCGCGCCCCGCGCCCCGCGCCCCGCGCCCCGCGACTCCGCGGCGCCACTAATCGCCACGCCGATCGGCCCGGAAAGGAAGGGCCTAAACAACAAGCGGAAAAACAAGAGGCAAGGCCGGGACCGGAGCCGGGCCATGTCGGGTCTAAAGGAGCTGCGCTGGCTCTCCGCGGCCGGCCCACTCACTTCACTTGCACCTCCCCCCCCCCCTCCGCCCCTTTCTCTCGTGATCCGGG